TCCACTCAGAGAACAGACCAAGCTGGATGCGTCCCTCGCTCCCCCAGGTCGTGGTCTTGCATCTGATGACCTGCCACGTGGGAAGATGGGGGAACGGGGCCAAGGGCGCGACACCAAGGTGAAGGCAGTGAGGCGGCCGTGGTCGCTTGGGGCTGGGACTGGGGCTGGGGAACCACTGCTCAGGCCATGGGGCTCGTTCTGAAACAGCTGCAGTGCTGGCTGTCCCAGCCTGCGACTACTGCAAACCACAGAACTGCACACTTCAAATGGGGGCTGCGCGGGGCGACTCCCACACCTCCAAGGAGCTCTGTCTAGAAAAAGGCAGCAAGCTGGTGCCACTTCTGGTCCACCGCCACGTAACCAATGAGCGCTTCCGCCAAGAAGAGTCAAATTAAGCAAAATAAAATTCACAGATGAGGGTCCCTGACCCGGTGCTGCCGTGTCCAGAGGTGCTGCCCCCATGCCAGGGCACCAGGATGGCTCTGTCCGGACAGCGGCTTTTGCTCCTGGTGTGGCTCCCAGTGGGGTTTCGTCCCACCTCCTGTCCTGCCCATGTCCCTGGACGTCTGGAGCACAGCCGGCCTCCCCACCCGTGGACCACATGGGCAGTACCCTGCAGCTAGGACAGACTGTGTGGGCTCACTCTGCTGGGGGCCTTCCTCTCTCAGAACAGCTAAAGGGATCTACGACCTTGAAAAGGTGGGAAACCCCAGGCGTGAGTCTCACAGGCTCTGGGGCAAAACTTGGTGACAGAAGCCCCCAAACCAAAGCCCTCGGTGCCCGGGGACCCAGGGACAGCCCAGCCCTCGTGAGCAGCAGCCTGAGGCCACCAGTGCTAGAGACCGGGGGCAGGCACGCCGGGCGCAGCAGTTCAGGACGTGGGAGGGGAAGGGGTGGGGCTCCATTACCTGCCAACCATCTCCCAGTCCCTGTACACAGGGATGTTGGGCCTGGCCTTGTTGTCATAAGGTCCAAAGTGGCAGTTGGGGGATCCAAACCACTCATCAAATCCGTGCTTCAGGGGGTGGAACTGGGGCCTGTGACCCAGATGCCTGGAAACAGGAACCCAGGACACTTCAGGGACCCCACGTGGGGACACTCTGAAATTCTGAGCAACAGATCCACCAGCTTCACAAAATTCTTGGTAAGATAAGCATCCTCCAGCACTGAGTATAGGCTATGCCTGGGCACGGCAGGGACAAAAGACCAAAGCCTCACCCCGAGGAGGGTGCTGGCACCACCCGCCTCCCCACAGAGTGTCTGGGCACAACCAAGGGTGGCAGGCACAGTGGCGGCCGGGGTTCCCGGCACCGTGAAGGGCGGTGCATCGTGAGGAGCCTCTCAGCCGCCTAGAACCCGCCTGACGTGCCCCTCGGGGCCCCGGCTCCTTCCTTCCACTTTTCCTGAACTCCCAGTAAAGTTTCACAGCTTGTGTCTCGAACCCAAGTGCTTCTCCTCTGGGTTTCCCAGGGCAGAAAATACCTCCTGCCAGGTAATTACTGGGTCTCTCCACACTGAGGCACTCAGTCTTGTCTCCCAGTTCAGGGCAACGGTCCCGGGATGACGGCTGGGCGGGGCG